TATATATATATATATAATTTTATATCTTATGTATTTATAATGTTTTAAGTATTTTAAAATATATTAAATATACTTATTTTTAAATATATCTATTCACAATTATACTGTTTACTGTATTCAAGTTACTCTAAAGTACTTAAAATATTTTAAAAAACATAAATATAGAAAACATTATAAAATTATATGATCGTATTTATAAAAAATATTTTTATGACATTTTGTGTATATATATATAATTTTATAATAGTTTATATATTTACTTGAAACATACTGTTTTACGTATTTTAAAATATATTACAAAATTATAAAATTATGGGGAAAAAATTCACAATTGTATATTTTACTGTATGCAAGTTACTCTATAATACTTTTTAAAATTATTAAAAAAATTAAACATACATATATATATATAGTATTTAGAATTTTTTTATGAAATTGTATTATTTTATATGTATCAGCAGACACTGTCATGCTGCATTAATACTTTAGTTTCACATGAATGAGGATGAGATTCTCGTGCATCACAGTCATCAGAATGTGCTTCAGTGTCATGAAAGTAATGTAACAATGTAAAACATCTTAATGGCTCTAAAAATAGCCTGGAGTTTGTGTTCTGGATCCAATCAGGCTGCAGTCAGTACCAGCTGAAGACTAATGGAGCAGTTTACTGCGTTACAGCAGACGTGGTGGATGTGAGTTCTCATGGAAAGAGCTGTGTGAGTGAGCATCGAGCTGCGCTGAAACCCTGAGCAGGACGGACGCAGTGTAAACAGAGGCTTATCAGCCTGCTAATAACTGTTACAGACACTCAGCAGCTGGAGCGACCCAGACTCGGCTTTCTCCTTTACTTTCAAGTGCCAGAGATATATAAAGAAAACATCTGATGATTTATGGAGCTCCGAGGCCTCCATAACTTAATATGATATTGAGCTATAAATCAGGCTTGTATTATGTTCAACGTTAAACATCTGAATATCAAGTTGGCTTGTTGAAACATCGATGGATGAATTGAAGTGGATCGTTTTTCACTGAAGTGATCTCAAAGACTACAATGCCGTTCAAAAGTTACAATTTGTAATGTGTTTTAAAGAAGTCTCTTCTGCTCATCAGGGCTGTATTTATTTGATCAAAAAAACTTAAATATTATTAGAATTTAAAATAACTCTTTCTATTTTAATACATTTTAAAATGTAATTTATTGCTGTGATCAAAACTGAATTTTGGTATCGGTCAAAAATCATTTTTATTTGAATGAAATGAATGTACTATATTGTAGTTTGATAATGTTTTAATCTTGTATTTTTAGGGGAAAAATAGTTATGATCTATTTATTACCTGTTAATCACTTTTTGAGCATCGCATAGACCTGAAAATGAATAAATCTTAAAGTTGGTCTCTTTTTAAGAAGGCTTTTGGCAGATTATTGCTGAAAAATGTAAAAAAAAAAAAGTTGTAGACGTTTAAGTTTTTTATTAGGAAAAATGCACAAAATATTATTTTTACATTTTAAATGAAATATATATTTTTTAAAAACTGCGAGAAAATGAAAGATAAATCTAAACGAGCCGTGTTCCAAATTTGAGGTTGATATCTAAAAGAAAATAACTTTTTATTACTTTTATTACATCCTTCGTAGTATTAATTAATTACTAAAGTATTAAATTATTTTTTTTTTAAAAGAGAGAGAGAGAGAAATCTACTGACCCTAAACTTTTGAACTG